CACACACGCACGCATACACACTTGCACACACAAACATATAAAGTCAACACTTCTCTGGCCTATTTGTGTTGCACATGCAGTAAAACTCTTACTAAAACCAAACAAATGCATACATACAAGTACAAATGCGCCCTAAGTGCAACTCTCAATCTCAGTGCTCCACGATTCATTTTTACATACACCCCTTAACCTCAATATTTTACGATTCAATTTTACATACAGCCAAGGACCTTAGAACATTACTGTATAACTATAACCTCCTTGCGTACACCTCTTAATCGTAATATCCTACTACTCATTAATAAACACTTCTGAATCTCAATACCCTAATTTTCATTTTTACATACACTTCTAAATCTCAATATCCTACTCGTCATTTTTACATACACTTCTAAATCTTAATATTTTCACATACACCTCTTACTCGCAATATTCTACATTCATTTTTCTATCTGTCTGTCTGTCGTGCAAATTCCTTTTGATCGCCCACAGTGCAGGGAGTGGAAGGGACAGGCAGGCATGACAATGTGTGTATGTGTCATGGTGCGGTGGAATCAGGCGCTCGTCAAATTTTGGGCATGTGGAATTATTGGTATTGCTTAAAGTTTGTTCAATTGCCTTGCCTTCGGTGAAAGAATTACCCATTTATCTTGAGTACATGTTAAGATATTTGCGATTGAATAAGGTGGGGGTCGCCTGGTTTCAGAGGTAAAATTAGTGATAAAATGGCCGTCAAAATGTGGTTATTTACAAAGCATCAGAGTTCGTGAAAACTAACAATTTACATTTGTTGTTCCTTTAATCGCTCAAAAAATATATAATTCACACTGAAATGGGTTCTTAAATAGACTTAGAAGGTGTTGAGCTAAAAAAAACCCAAAAAATTTCGATAACATCGCCAAACCAGCGGGGAAAAAATGTAACTTTCTTTAATTTCATTAATTTGACGAGTGCCTGATTTCACCACGCTGCCTCACATGTGTGCGTGACACGATTCTGCAATCTACACTGTCGGCACGGCAAGGGTTACTGCATGTTTACTGGTGGGTGGGACTTGGCTGACCGAATTATTAACGGGAGTAGTCGGGTTGAATGGTGGAATGCCAGCGAGAGAATGGGACATAGAGAGAGAGAGAGAGAGAGAGAGAGAGAGAGAGAGAGAGAGAGAGAGAGAGAGAGACAGAGACAGAGACAGAGAGAGACTTAGAGAGAAAGGGGGAAAGAGAGGAAGGGGGAGGGAGACAGAGAGAGAGAAAGGGAGAGACAGACAGACAGACAGACAGACAGACAGACAGACAGACAGACAGACAGACAGACAGACAGACAGACAGACAGACAGACAGACCAACAGAGACACAGGGAGAGAGAGAGAGAAAGAGAGAGAGGGGGACGGAGGGAGAGAGAGTAGGAGTCAATAAGATGGAGTCGGAATAAAAAGGACCGGGAAAGGGGAAAGCGAAATTAGAACTGAAAAACATACAAGCCCACTACTATAAGAGCTATTTTCGTTGTTGTTTTGTTTTGTTGTGGGGTTTTTTTTTGTTTATGTTTTATTCTGTTCTGTTCTGTTTTTGTGACTTTTATGGTACCTGCAAAACAAGTAGATCATAATATAAATGCCGAAGATTAGAGGTGTTACAAGAAAGCAACAAACTCACATAAAAAAGGAGGAGAGATAAGGACGATAGATGTCTGCAAGACAGAAAAAGAGGGTGGGGGTGGTGGGCAAACCACACCAGAGCACCCGCAAACAACCCACAAGTCGGCTCCAAGACATGTTACGACAAAGCCAGCAGTTCGATCTGCTACCAGGACCAGCGCACGGGGAGGCGCTTTAGCTTAACCCTTTTGAACCTGCAGCACAGACGTATACAGCTGAACGTCTGTCTAGCTACGCATGACTGACGGAGTCGGCATTCACAAAGCATGCGTACATATAGATCTATATAGAAGACTTTGCAGCTGACTACAAAGCGGTTCGATCACAAGCGTCACCGACACATTCGAAGGAAATGAAGCGTGCGCGCAGTCGGCGCTTTTGAAAAGATCCGGCATTTGGCAGTAAAGATTAAAGCATTCGTGTTTTACGGCGAGTCAGCACGAAAAAAACGGAAAAGAATAAATAAAATAAAATAAAATAGAATAGAATAATAAAAAATAAATAAAGTGAAATAAAATAAATTAGCGGCCACATGCCACAGAGAACAGACTTTGACAACAGAGACGTTGAATTATGAGAAGCAGGAATAGAAGAAGACTACACAGAACTACAACGTCTACAACGGTCACCAACCGTTCACATCAACATCAACATCAACATTTGGGAGCTACGAGTATAGTTTTACATCATGTGTCTACGGTAATTCTTCAAATAATATGTCGTAACGGAGACTTCTGGCACCGTTGCTGTTATTGTTGTTGTTGATGTTGTTGTTTCTGTTGTTGCAACTGCTGCTGACGATTCAGCTGCATGCGCTGACGTCATTCGTGTGGTTGGGCTTTGATAGATGTTGTCGCATCGCATTACTAATACTACAGACAAGACAACTCCTTGACACAATGGAACCGAATAGATATATCACTCCCCCATTATTTTTCTCCATCTCGTATA